CTTTATGGTCTATTTTACTCTAAATGGGACCATCAGTTACTAAATGAACATCATGCTGTATGGAAGAAGACTGGAACTAGAGACTGAGACCTGAAACTCATCAGGAAACTGTTTACTGAGCTCAGAAATCAACTGAGCCCCCCCCTCGGTTGCTTGTATAATGTGTAGTTGCTTGTATAGTCTGTAATTTATAAAGAAACTGCATCCTCTTGTCTTTTTAAACACATTTTACCTGTTGTGCAACGTGACAAATGATAGACGAGGTTTCTCCGTATACTTACAGATGAGTCAGGGATTTGAGTCCTCTGAAGGTGTACTTCGACAGAGCCTGGATATCATTATTCTCAATGAACCTGAGAAGAGAACGAACCACTCGTATGTCAGACGGCGATAACAAACTCCTTGTGTTGTTGTGTGCAGTACAATAATAGTGTGACTGCATCCCTTATTTCACTAATCTGCATCTGGTGGATTTACAATCAAATGGTGAGTTGATTGTGCCAATACTAATAAATATTCTATCATTTTTATCTTGTATTTGATAGATCCTGTTAACTTTCAGTGTATAAGCAAAGAAAATATAAAACAATAAATGACTCTTAATGGTAAAAGCTCAATCTTTCCTTTGATTAATGTGATAAAAATGAGAGTGCAGCAAGTTTTTCAAAGCTCTATGTGTCAGCGTCATTTGATCCCGTCCTGTCTTTGTTTTGTCATTTGATAGTCGAGGCCATGCAGCATGTGCAGACTCTCTGGAGGTGGCTGGATATTAAAATATGACTTTATTAGCATGCACAGCGGGTAGCGGCGGTTAGTGGCAGCGAGGGCCTGTTGGCTGGTAGGCAGCCAAAGCCACACAGCGAGCAGCCGGAGGCATGGCCATCACGGAGAGCTGCACACTCCCAGCCATCAGCTAACTACTTTCTAAAGCCCATCAATTCACAGAATGGCACATTCAGCTTTATCACACTACAGAGGCAGAGCGCTCGCTGTTGGAGGAAGATTTATTTTCAGTTTTGCTTTTGGCTTTCTGCAGAGTCCAATCCAGACAATCTTGCAGTGCAGCTTTTAGTCAGGTTTGTTTTACTCATTACACAGAGAAATAAACCCACCTAGACTCACTGTAACTAATCACTCATAAGAATAAACAATGAAAACAAAAGAAATCTGCTTTAAAACGAGTTCACTTTTGCAGCATAATGATGAGTACTAAAATATAACGTAAAGCTAGTAGAAGTTGCAGTAATTATGACATATTGTAATGTATTAGGGGCTGGGTTATTGACATATAAATAACATAAGAATATTGTATTCACTCACAAATACACAGATTTAGATTGAGGCTTTAATTTGGGGGTACCAGATCAGCTACAGGGGCAGCAACAAGCCACTGTTTGTTAAATAACAATGCTAGACGTTCGCATACATGCTAATAGAATCCGAAATGGAGAATATTTCTTTGTTAAAAGAAGAGCAAAGAACGGCACTGAAGGTTTTTCTCGATGGAAAACTGACTGACTGGTTTTAATAGATCCAACCACCGAACTTTTCCAAACAACAAGGACTTCCCAGATGTAACAAACCATCCAGCACGTCGTTATTCTAAATAAATATCAGCAAATATAATCTCAGTCATACATAAAGTAATTACTATTACTGCTGGTTCTAGTGATACGGTATACTTCAGTCCCAGAGGAAGCTGTTGCTCGGTACAATCTGTACTGTCTCTTGTCTTTAAACTATATTAAAAAGTGGAAACTAGACATTGTTATACTCTATTCACAATGTTAGATAGCTAGCACAGTCTGTGCAATAGCTTGTGTACGAGAATCTGCAGCCTCTTTTGTCCCCCTAACGACTATACGACTTATTTTCTTTTAACATAATAAGGAAACGTTGTTAATTAACATAAAAATGTGGCATCTTGCAACACTATCCACTCATAGGGACTACAGCATTACTCCAAAGTCAACAGTGACTTTAGACATTAGATCTTTTATTAACATTTAACCAAAATCACAATCTTTACCCAACGTAAACAAAAAGTGTTTTTGTTGCAGGAGTGTCGACACAAACCCCGGACCCTGGTGGGACAGTCCTGCACTTTGTATGTCCACCATCAACCCCAACCACCTCTTTCCAAATCCATCACGTTACATAAAGCTGCCACCCCATCCTACCCCTCTAGATCTGCCCCTGAGCAGCTAAACCTCCGAGTGTACTGAACTAAGTGAGGGTGTGTTTCACTGATTATGAAGTACATTTTATAAACTATTTTAGGTACACTAAAGTAGTTAAAAGACCAGTCACAGTACATTTGTGAAATAACTATCTACTTACAGGTACTGCAGGTGAGACAGACCGGCAAAGGCATCATCAGCAATCATGGTGAATGTGTTGGAGTTCAAGAGGCTGCAAAAAGGAGGCAATAATGAGCAACTTATACAGATAATGTAGTTCACGAAGCAACATTTAGACACCTGACTGCCATTTTAACTGCTTTAATGACTACTTCCATTTGTCTCTGTGCACATTTAAAGATGCTTTATAAATAAAACACATTCCTAATGATCACATAAAACATTCACAGCATATAAAGCTAATCTAATGTAAATACATAAATTCATTTGGATTTACACAAACACACACACACACACACACACACACACTCACACAAACAGGGGGCATGAACACACACTCACGATTGCTTCTGAGCAGATAATCGGCCCTTTGTCTGGCCGAGCAGAACTGAAGGGAGTCAGTGATTGGCAATGACACTGATACAGAGCCACTTTACCCTTATTACTGCTATGTCACCACTGTTTTCAATAACCATTCATTTCTAGTAGCTGAAGTCCTTCCATTGTTGTCTGCCACAATATCGGCTGTGTGAAAACACACGTGTCGTGTTAAATGTTGTGACTGTGAATAAAAGTGTGTGAGAACTGTGAGAGTTTATGATGTTTAAAACTTTGTGAAGGTGCTCCGTCGTGGGTCGGGACACTCACAGGAACTGCAGGAGGTGAAGGTGCGAGAAAGCTCCCTCTGGGATCGTAGTGAAGGCCGCGTTCACCATCGTCCTGTCCAGACAAACAACAGTTATGATTAGACATGTCTTCTTGATGTGAGAGAGCAGAAAAATGTCTTATTCACAACATTAATTGTGTACTTTTATTTCTTCTGAGGCGCCTCTCCTCTCAGGACAGCGCCGTCCTTGCAGTTTAAATATCAAGGAGGGCTCAATCTTCAGAAAAACTGGGACGCATGAGTTCCTTCTTCGCTTCTTTACTTCTTCTCTATTGTAAAATTAGGGCAGCTTGTGCTCTGGAATTCCCTTGACTGTTTAAACTCAATATTCAATGCACGGCCAACGGGGGTCAACATCAGATGAACAGGAGTACTGTGTAACCTTCTCAGTAAAAGCATAACCTTTCCACATCACGTGTGAAGCTTTCCATTTCATTCAATGCCCTCCATCTATATCTCTGCACACTCTTTAAGATTAAATCTCTCGGAGGAGGACTCCTGCAGTGAGCCGGAGAGTCTATTGTTAGTGTTCCTCCCTGGAGCTCGGCAGGATCGCACTGCTGTGCTCCATCAACTAAGTTCAGCATATGGTACGGTGAAGGGACATTATTATTATGTAATGCCATCTGGTATACATCTTTCTGCCAGCGTAAAGAAAGTATCAAGAAAACACTTTTAGATAATTAAAAGACAAGACGGGATTCATGCATCATTACATAATGGAGGGTGACATCAGTGATGTAGCCATCTGTACCAGCCTGCGTATTGCTGAGACTTCATACAGGTTAGGAGAAGATGCTTATAATGTGACACATTATATGTTGGACTCACAGAGAGATGATTCCAGGGGGGAAGCTCTTGGGGATTGCCTTGGTGTCCACACAGAAGGCACTGTCTTTGGTGCAGGAGCAGGTCGCAGGACAGCGGGGTATCTTGGGGGCTCTCCTGGCATTTGACTCCCCCGGCAGACTCAGACACAGACACAGAAGTGACAAGCAGATCAGCCTCGTCCATCTCCGTCTGAGATCCGGCATCCTTGGGCAGGAGGGAAGGGAAGCCGTGTGAATGACAAGCTTTCTTGGAAGTTTCTCCTCAGTGGTTTGTTGAGAGGCGATGGTCAGCCTGCCTACAGCTCCAGCAGTTCTGATAATGCTGAGTGCAGAGTTGAGATAGAAAGAGAGAGAGGAAGGGAGGGAGGAGGAGGAGTAAGGGTAGTCCTGTTTATCCTCGGTGGGGTGTGGGTGCTCTGCAGCTTCCCTGGATCTGTGCGATCTCTCCCAGGAGCTGCTGCCAAGAGTGCACACTGCAGGAGTGACGAGCTTTTCTCCGCACCAGGACCTGTAGGCAACGTCGCTGACAATGAATTATTTACTGTTGCACACGCAGGAAAATCTTAAAACACCAGCAGCATGGAGGGAGGGAGGGAGGAAGAGAGAGAGAGGGGTGAGGAGGAGCGGCGGGGCAAAAGATTATACTGCCATGTTCTGTTCTGTGGAGCTCTTATCAGGCAAGCTGCTGCAGTCATGAGAGCAGACAAGGAGGCAGCGAGGATGCAGGGAGGAATGTGTGTGCATGCATTAATGTGTTAGTGGCTGTGTGTGTGTGTGTGTGTGTGTGTGTGTGTGTGTGTCTGTGTGTGCGTGGGAGGGTGTTCATATTCTGGCAGTTTCCAAACAGCAACCAGTGCTGAGACGCACACTTAATCAAAAGAAGAAAGAAGGAGAAATACAACCTATTGATGAAGCAACGCAAGAATGTTGTACCAGAAAAATATCTACGAGAATAATCAGATTTATATTTTAAATAAATTAGCTCCCAGACGACACAGAAAATAAACGGAACCTTTAAAAGTGTCATTCAGTGATCGAGTGTCACTTCCATCCAGGTAACAGTGATATGCAGATTCAACTAATGTTTAGTCCCACTGTAAAACCAGATAAGTTAATTACACTAAAAAACGATTTACTGTTTACAAATATTACAGTAAAAACTAACTAGATTTTGTAAATTAAAAAACATTTTTGATCAAATATCCAATCTACATCAATCCTTAGCTAGTTAGCCAGCATTTTACGACACTAAAACACTTTTGCTAAGATTAGTTTTTGTTACTAATTAGTTAATCTAATTGTTACATGTTACATCTGAAAACTAATCTTATCAAAATGCTAAATAGCTAGTGAGGTAGCATATTGCTTCCATTAGCTAAGCTTTCATCTATGCACGTAGCATATCTAATGAGGCCTTCCATTTAAACTGGGAAGTCTAGTAATATTTAGTGACACTGACTTAATTTTGTAAATTTGAGTAAAAAGTACTTAATAAGGAAGGTTGCTTTAACTTACAAAACTAAGTAAACTAGTAAAAACTGCTTAATCAAATTGAGTTTGTGTTACTTCAATTTAAACACCCACCAAACAGTCTGATTTTATTCTAACTTGAACAAACTGCCTTCAATTTTTAATAAATTATACAAAATAATAATAATAATAGCAGCAATTTTTGCCATTTTAACTTTCTCCTGCAGTTTCATTACAAAAAAAATGCCTAAAAACATCACATGTATTGTAGTTTTTTAGGAAAGCTGCTGTGACATCAGGCATTTTAGGTCCCAACAATCCCAAAGACAGATTAAAAGGGAGTGGTCTAAATCAGTGGTTCTCAGCTGCTCTCACCTTCACCCATATTTATCCATTTGTCATTAAGTAGAGACCCACTTTTATAGAATTTAAACCAAGATAATTTATTTTTCAGTTTAGCAAACACATATACAATGTCATCATGGCCTTTTTTAACATAAAATATACATATTTTCATCCCTGCATCCAGGGACATAGACACATAAACGCACAGTGCACACACACACACACACACACAGAGCAGTCATACGGTTTGAAAACACACATACAGCTACGTGTTGCTGTTTCTTATTAATCTGAATAAAATTAACATCATAACTGCATAACTGTGTAATTAAGGGCTACAAAACTGGTTGTTGTTCTTGACATTTGTTGAAGCTTTTCTGTCAAAATAAAAGATAATTAAGCTTTTAAAATCGTTTTTTTTCTTTTTACCCCCCACTCATTCATCTGGGAAAACATGGTCTAAATCAAAGCAGCAGAGATGTCCCAACTTTTAGTTTGTAGTACAGGTAAAACACCACTGGATCCTACAATTCCCATAATGCAGCTCAATAGCATCTTGCCCTCCCTGTCTGGTAAACACCCACATCTTTCACACTTCTTCCTCCAGTTTGTTAAATCCAGGGCTGCCCAAAGTTGTAAGGGTAAAATGCTTCTTAAATATGTAAAATTTCTAATGAAAAATTTGAACTATTTCTATATAATCTGAGCATGACGTGAAACACACAAGTAGCAATTCAAGGAAATTTAGAATCGTGGTACCATTTTGCATCTTAACAATACAGTAGGTTCCCAATCTGAGATAACCCTAGATACATAATCAGGATTACTTTCTCATACTTTTAAAATCTCCACCATCACCAGAGATGTTGAACAACTATTTTCATCCTCCTAATGTGATATTCATGTTTAATGTAGATGGAGACCTCTTTTAATATAATTTTCAAGACACATTTAACATTAATTACAGCAAATTGTGTTTTAATGTACTGAATTTATTTAATGCAACATAGGTAAGAAACTATGGAAGCCTATTTCTGCCAATATGACAAAAAAAAGATTCTGTAAGTTATTATAATGGGAAACTTTATCAAAAAATGGACACATCTTTTCAAAATAATGACTTAGTATCACACACTCATTATTTTGAGACACATAGTCAATATTTTGAGATGCTAAGTCATAATTTTGATAAAGTTCCTCATTAAAATAACTTACAGAATAATTTTTTTTCTGTCACATTGGCAGAAACAGTCTTCAATAACAAACAGATATACAACATAAAAACTATTCTGCCCGCTGTTCCAGGCTGACGACACCAGAGGGCGCTGTAGGCTACAAAATAAAAGTCCACGGGGGGCAGGAGACTGTGCAGAGAGTGTGTGAATGGCCACTGGCGGGGCTGCAGCCTCAGTGCCAGGCGTTACCAGCCTTCCTGCACAACGACTCTGTTGTCAAGAGCAAAGACACCCTGCAACATGCTGTCTGTCCACGTTGTTCCCGACCCAGACGGGCAGCAGTGGCGTCCAACAACATCTGATCCACTGCAGCAGCTTTAAAGCGCATAATAACAATAAATAACCTATGAATGAAATGTTTGATTTAGCTTTTTTCCTTTAATATTCGTTTCTCTTTCTTGCAGTCACGGTCCTGTGTCCTCTGATGTACGATTACTGCAAGCTATGAAATGAAATAAAAAGCATTATCTTGATGGATGAAAGAGGAAAAAGCTCTTCGAGGGCTTCATTTGAAATCCGTTTGATGTTTTCTTTGCCTTGGGACAGTTTGATGTTTATCAGTGAAAGCCTTCCAAAGATTCTGGTGTTGTTTTTTAGTCCCTTAAATCTGTGAAGCCTGACTGTACATAACAGAGTGATTTCTCATGTGAATCAGTTACAGAATTATGGGTGGTGTCTCTTTGTGCCTCATCCAGTTTCAGGGATGACATTTCCTGCACAGCAGCTATTTTTATGGCTTATTATATTCCTTTGTGCTTTGGCGTGTTTGCGTGAGTCTTAGCAATTTTTTCTTTCTTGTTCTAACTGTATCTGTGTATTTATGTAAGTTATGCTCAGCGAGGAGCAGTTAATTCCTGAGCTTACTCCTTGCTGTGCTCCACCCAATCCAAACCTCCGGTGGGAACCAGCATAATTGCATGGCATAGAGAACGGAGCATGAAACAGCAGCTGGAAGTCCTAACGTGCCCTGTGTGAGGCCGAGGAATCTGCAATGCTTGCAGAGATTAATCCACTGAACTCTCTCTATACGAGTGTACTTACACAGTGGAATAAATCACACCAAATAATGAATGATTTTATCTTCAGAAGCAACTATTCTGAATGACTTTTGTTGCTTAGCTCTTAAAGTTAAGATGAGAAAATGGATACCACTCACATGCCTGCACAGTAAACATGAAGCTGGAGCCAGCGGCCGATTAGCTTAGCTTAAAGGGAAACAGCTGGCTCAAAGATCTGCCTACCACAACCTCTAGTGCTCGCTAATTATCTAATATCTTGTTTGTTTTTGTACAAAAAACCAGAGAGTAAAACTATTAATGTAATTCCGAGGCAGAGCCAGGCTAACTGTTTCTACCTGCTTCCAGTCTTTATGCTAAGCTAACCACCTGTTAGCCTTAGCTAGCTTTTTAGCATTTAGCATACAGAAGTGAGAGTAATATTTTACTGAATATTTCACAAAATGTCCAATTATACCTTTTAAAGTACTTATTTCTCTCATTTTTTTAAAGGAGTGTGGCATCTAATGGTTGCTGATTGCAACGTCCTTGCTTCACCCTCCCATTACAAGCCTTTAGGAGAAACTACAGTGGCCACAAAATCCAGAGTCGATGTGTTTGCTTTGTCCGTTCTGGGCTACCGTAGAAACATGGAGGTTCAATATGGCCGACTCCACCAGAAGAGGACCCCCTCCCTCTGTAGATAAAAACGTCTCATTCTGAGGTAACGAAAACACAACAACTCTTATTTTCAGTTGATTATAAACAACAGCTCTGTTAGCTGCTATATACTCCTCCACTGTGTTCACCAGCTAGTTGCCAACGTTGCCTGTCTGCTGAGCAGGTTGCATACAGTTGGTTTTAATAGATTTATTACTGAAAGCAGCTGCCTGGCACAGCCCAAAAGGAGGCTATGAGTGTGAATCAGAACAGTAAAGGTGTTGGCCAGACAGCGAAAACAAAGAGCTGCAACCATAGACTGTATAATTAAAAATGGCAGTCCTGGCTTGGCTCCCGGCTAATCCAAAAATGGGCAAAGAGGTTTTGATTTTGATTTATTTGCACAACAGCAGAACCACAAACAAGAGAAAAGAAGCAAATTGTTCAGGTGAGATTTAAAAAAGAAAAACCCTAAAGGCTTGTAGAAGATATCTCACCTCAATAGAGACACAAAAATCAAGTTATCCACAAACGTAAACAGAATCAAAAGGCAAATATAAATTACGTGTGGGTGAAACTGAATGAAAGCCTGGTTACTGAAAACAGCCGCCTGTCACTCAAAGCAGCCACGCCCTTAATTATATGTAACTTTAAGCCTTAATATAACTTAAACAGGTGAGTTGTATAATGATTCAACCCTCGTACAGTTGTCATTAATGGGGAAATTAGCAACAAAAACAAGTAAGATGGTTTATTTCTGCTGTAAAGTTGGGCATTTTAATATGTGGCCTTATGGAGATTGACTCACTTCTGGAGCCAGCCTCTAGTGGCCGTTTGAGGAACTTCAGGTTTTTGATCTTTACGTGTTTACGATTTATAGGTA